ATGTGAAAACCTAGAGGAAATGGAATAATTTCAAGAAACACATTACCTACTCAAACTAACACAAAATGATGTTGAAAATCTGAACAGACCCATAACAAGAGAAGAGATTGAAAAGTTAATAAAAAATCTTCCAATGAAAAAAAGCACTGGGCTAGATGGCGTCACTGGAGAATTCCACCAAACATTCAGAGAAGAGCTTACACCAGTACTACTCAAACTATTTCAGAACATAGAAAAGGAAGATACACCTCCAAATTTATTCTATGAAGCCAGCATAACCCTGACACCAAAACCAGGCAAAGACACCACAAAAAAAGAAAATCACAGACCAATATCTCTTATGAATACAGATGCAAAAATTCTTAACAAAATTCTAGTCAATAGAATTCAGTATTATATCAAAAAAATAATATACCACAACCAAGCAGGATTCATACCAGGTATGCAAGGATGGTTCAACAGTAGAAAATCAATGAACGTAATCCACCACATAAATAAAAGGAAAGGAAAGAAAAGAATCACATGATCATCTCAATTGACACAGCAAAGGCATTTGACAAAGTCCAACACCCATTCCTGATAAAAACTCTCAATAAAATAGGTATAGAAATTCCTCAGTATAATAAAGAGCATCTATACAAAACCAATGGCCAAAATCATTCTTAATGGAGAAACGCTGAAACATTCCCTTTGAGAAAAAGAACAAGACAAAGATGTCTTTTACCACCACTCCTATTTAACATTGCGCTGGAAGTCCTAGCTCGAGCAATAAGGCAAGAAGAAGAAATAAAGGGCATCCAAATTGGTAATGAAGAAGTAAAACTGTCCCTATTTGCAGATGATATGATACTATACATAGAAAACCCAAAAGACTCCACGAGAAAACTACTGGAACTAACAGAAAGATTCAACAGAGGAGAAAGATACAAGATAAACATACAAAAATCAGCTGGATTCCTATATACCAATAAAGAGAATGTTGAAAAGGAAATCAGGAAAACAATACCATTTATAATAGCCCCTAAAAAAATAAAATACTTAGGAATAAATCTCAGTTGTCTTAGTTATCTGGTGCTGCCATAACAGAAATACCACAAGTCGATGGTTTTAATGAAGAGAAGTTTATTTCCTCACAGTCAAAGTAGGCTTAAAGTCCAAATTCAGGGTGTCAGCTCCAGGGGAAGACTTCTTCTCTCTGTCAGCCTTCTTCTCTTCAGTGTTCCCCTGGACTAGGAGCTTCTCAGCACAGGGACCCCAGTCCAAAGGACGTGCTCTGCTCCCGGCACTGCTTTCTTGATGGTATGAGTTCCCCCTGTCTCACTGCTCACTTCTGTCTTTTATATCTCAAGAGATTGCCTCAAGACACAATCCAGTCTTGTAGATCAGGTCCTGCCTTACTAACACAACTGCCACCCATCCTCCCTCATTAACATCATAGAGGCAGGTTTACAACATACAGGAAAATCACACAGTAGCAGGAATCATGGCCTAGCCAAATTAATACACACATTTTTGCAGGGACATAATTCAAACCATGACACCAGGGATATAAAAGACCTATACAAAGAAAACTACCACTAGTGCAGGAAACCAAAAGAGATCTACATAAATGGAAAAACATACCATGTTCATTGATAGGTAGACTCAACATTGTGAAAATGACAATTCTACCCAAAGCAATTAACAAATGCAATGCAATCCCAATCCAAATACCAGCAACATCCTTTAAAGACATGGGAAAACTAATCATTAACTTTATATGGAAAGGGAAGAAGCCCTGGGTAAGTAAAGCCCTATTGAAGAAGAAGAAAGTAAGAAGACTCGCACTACCTGACCTCAGAACCTACTATACAGCTACAGTAGTAAAAACAGCCTAGTACTGGCACAACAACAGATACATTGACCAATGGAACAGAATTGAGAACCCAGATGTAAATCCATCCACCTACAGTCACTTGAACATCAGCATGAATCTAAAGTCCATCAAACGGGGAAAAGAAAGTCTTTTTAACAAATGGTGCGGGCAAAACTGGATGTCCATCTGCAAAAAAAGGAAACAGGACCCATATCTCACACCATACACAAAAATTAATTCAAAATTGATCAAATACCTAAATATCAAGCCAAAAACTATGAAGATCACAGAAGAAAAAAATAAGATCAATGCTAGAGGCCCTAATACATCACATTAACAGGGTGCAAGCCATAACTAACAACACACAAACTCCAGAAGATAAGATAAATAACTGGGATCTTCTAAAAATTAAACACTTATGCTCATCAAAAGACTTCACCAACAGAGTAAAAAGAGAACCTACAGACTGGGAACATATGGACTAGATTATTTAGCTCTGTTGGACCATACTGTCCCTTAACCTACATTTCATTTACATATAAGGAAGACTCACCTGAATTTATTTTTTGTATAGCTTGCCAGTTGGTAATTTTTTCTCTCTTTAGATTCAGTTTCAACTATTTATTGGCATACGGACAGACGGGCTTTGTCTTGCTATATTATTCCAATTTTGTAAGAGAAACTAGAACGTAAGTAGTGTGCCTCACCCTTTTCACACGTTTGATATCAGTGCTGCCTCATAACAGTTGTTCACAATAACTATCATTATTTTTATAGCTTTACTGCAGTGTAACTTACTGAAGAATAATGTGACTTTTGCAAATGTACATCATCAGCCCTCTTTCAAATGGAGTTTTAAAGTTTGCTGACTTATGACTAGGAGGACTACGTTGCCCTTTTCTGTGAAATAATTCTAACATTCAACATAGTATAGCTCTTCAATTAATGGTTGTCAAATGAATGAATGAATCTACATAGTCATTTTAAAAAAGAGGTCATTAATTAGTGGCCCAAGAACCAAATTCAGCCGGTTCTTATATTTTGTTTAATAATCAGAAAAGTTTCAAAATTTGCATTAAAAAAAAATTCCACTCTCAAGTTTTTTCCTTGTAACATTGGAAAATATGGCAATACATGGCTGTTGTTTCCACATGGCACCACATAGTTACAGCTGAATTTAAAGAGACAGGGTGTATGTACTAATTTCCACCTGCCTCATCTTTCCCATTAGTGTCACATTGGGTCTACTTCACACTTATGTGTTAATTTCCTGACAATAGAATTTGAGACTGTCTGAGTTAAATTTTGACATGTTATTTATCTGTGAATTAAAGGCCTATTTCTTGTTATCAACAACTACTCCCTTCACTGAAGTGCCTCATAAATATCTAAACATCTTTCAAAACCCAGCTCAGCTAACACTTTAAGGCTTTCTTCAAACCACGCAACTATAAATACTCTGTATCTTGTACATTTATTGTAAATGCAGTATTGTACAATAGTATTGTACATTGTATATATAGTATTGTACAAAACTAACATCATATAGAATTGTAACTTTAAGTTCACCTGGATTCTCCATAAAATTATGAACTTCCTAAGATTATTTTTTCATCTTCATTCCTTTATTTTCATTGCCTACCACAGTAACTAAAGAGTTTAAGAGGTCTCAAATGTTTAGCCAGTGTTAAAAGGCTAACAACTCATGGAGTTAACATTACAGCCCAGGTCTACTGAGTCTTGGTCCAAGACCATTTCACTTCCTTCTTGTATATAAAATTTCAGCTTAAAAACATTATCAGTTTTCTAAGATACAGTATCCTAACTTTATTAAGAGTGGCAAGGTGCCCTTTTTATGTTTCTTAGCATCCTATACTTTTAGCATACCATTTATATTATTAACTTTGTCTGAACCTTTGTCTTCCTCCTCCACCATAACTATGATTTCCTTAGGGAAAGAGACCATGAAGTATTTACCTTCACCTCCCAGCATCTAGCACAGTACTTAACACAGGGTAGAGGCTCAGCAAATGTTAGTATAATTTAAATTAAATTAAATCAACTTTCGAAGTTAACTTATTTGACTAAATTCTAGTTATAATATAATCAAATCATGTGTTTTGCTCTTGTTGGTTACAAGACCTAGGTAGATTTTAGAAAACTGCACCAGAAAGTTATAACTAACAGGTACAGTAAAATTAAAACAGATGGTCAGCAGTAATGCAAAGCCCATTCTTATTTTGATTTTGGATAGTTATTATGAAGCTCCTTGACATGGATGTAATTTGGCAGCCGAAATAATCATCATTCACTGTATTTATTTTTCCAAGAGCCAAGAAACCAATGAATGAAAAGGTTCAGTTATTTTATATGTGCAGTTTTCTTTAGACTGAATGACTGATATATTTGGAGGTTCTTAAAACTATTAATTTTTCTAAGTCCTGATTTTATTTTGGAAAAATGCATTCTTTGTTTGTTAAAATTTACTTTGTTTCTTCTGCCTTGCCACCATCTGACACTAAAAATTTTTCCTCAGGGATTCTTGCAGTCTGTACAGTCTTATAATTATCACTGAAATGATGTTGTCTATTGTCTTCCCAGTGATTATACATACTGTGCACTTTGATCTGGCTTTGTGGTTATAGAAACATAAAGGAATGTAATAGAAAATATCCAAAGATTAAAAATGTAGTGCAATGACTCCCAACCTTGGCTACACACTAGAGTCACCTGGGGAGCTTTGAAAACTACGAAGTTCAGACTCCACATTCAGAACAATTAATCAGAGTCTCTGAGGGTAGATCAGATAACAAATTTTCTGTATTAGTAACAGAAATAAAAAAAAAAAAAAAAAAGCTCCACTAACATTTTAGCATTTTGGTTCAGATTTTTTTTCTAATGTTTCATAAATTTTGAGTTGAAGTTCTGTTAGTAACGCTGAGTACCAGGTGTTTTAACAAATTTCTTTTTCTTAAGTAATTATTTTAAAATCTTGGTTTGGTTTCATGCTACTGATACCTCTTCAATAATCTTCTGAGTGGCCTAGATCGCTTTCTAGCACTTGGCACTTTCAGATGTTCTTAAGCTGAAAATGTTGTAACAGGTAATGGAAGGCTCTGTTGACATATGAAGAAAGAGTCAAACATTCCACTTTGTTATTTAATAATGTTAGCTTTATTATTATAATAGAATACAGTATGACATAAAGTTAAGAGCTTTTGCTAAACTCTGTAAAGCAATACATGCATCTGCCATAAACAACCTTGATCCATGTTAGGTTTTATTGCCACTTCACTGCACTAAGGTGCATTAAACATTCAGAGTCATCTTTAAAAAATGTTCCAGGGAATAAACAGGAACTGTCCTCTATAAGAGTACCTTTATTTTCAAGGAAGACTTAACTAGTATTACATGGTTTAGCAAAGCACTGTAGAAAAGCTACATAGAATAATTGGTCTTTGATAAACTGTGCAATCAATTTATACAATAGAATACTATCCACATATACTAACAAAGAGATGATAGAAATGCAGTCTTTGCATAGCAGAAAGCAGACTAAGAAGAAATATTCACATCTAATGTGCAAAATACAGACCAAAAGTTAGCCATGAGGAGTCTGGAAGATAAAAAGCTTTCAATAAACACATTAAGTTAACGCCAAAAAATAACAAGATAAACAGCAACACAGAAATTAGAACCATATTTTATTTTCTATACGTAATATCTACACATGGTACCAGAGGATGAAACATCCTTGGTTCAGCCTTTATTGACCTATCTCATCAAACTTAGGCAGGACCAAATCAAACAACAAAGCACATTTAAAAAGAAAACCAGAGTTTGTTCAGAAAACACAAAGAGTATATTTCCCTCCATCATTGGATAGCAGCTTTTTGAGAAAAACATTGCTCAAAAAGTGGGTACGGATCCCAACTGTCTTATTTGGTAATTACGCTAAAAGGTTTAAGTTATAATATTCTAAACATATTTAGACCATGACCTGTGGATTCTTGATGCTAAATTTAAATATCTGTGAAATTCTATCAGACAAAAGGAGACTTCAAAAATACTTTCTGCATAAATATTTATCTCTAAAACATCTGGGCAGTAATGAAAGAGACTAGAATTTTTCATAGTGAACGTCAATGGACCTCTTGTATTTAAAGCCCTTACATAGTATACCTACAAATATATTGCTACAGTATAAATGAAATGTAATAATATTACTCCAAAGCTATCTTCTGTACATTCTTTCAGTATTTTTATGTTTAATGCTACATATGTTACAATACTAATTGAAACAGTTGGTATCAGCAAATAGAGCAGTAACATTCAGTCAATTTTATAGCTCCAACTAATGCTTTTCCATTTTCTTTCTATATTACAATAGCCTAAAATAGAGAAATGCTGTGTGACTTGAGCAGATAGCAACTGATCTACTACTGTACACTGGACACCAGTTTGAAATTAGAGGCTTTCTCTACATAAGTGGCTTTATGCATGTGTTTTAAGTTCCATCTGATACCTATGGGCTCTGTTCTGTTCTTAAATGCAGGCTCTAAACATATTTCCATAGCATTTAACAACATTCTAACAGCTAAGAGCGGTGAGTCCTACACAATATTTTAATAACACAACTTTAAAAAAAGTTAAAAAAAGATCAATCTCATGCTGTATATTTACATATATAAATTATAGATTCTATTTTTGTCTGCTAGTCATAAATTTTAATCTAAAGCTTTTAATGTCCTGTTATATAAAAGAATACATTCAGCAATTCTAGAGCTTGCAAAATATTTTTGCCCCTCTGAAAACATTTTCATAATGAAAATCAAGTGATTATTGGACCCATGTACTATCTAGAAATATACAGGGTGGAAAAGGGAATCTTTTAATTTTTTAAAATTTATTTTACTTTATTTATTTAGATAGTTTCTATTGAGTGTATGTCTCTGCTAAAATAATTCCTCATCGAGTCTAATGGTAAAAGCTCGGATGACAGTGAAGAAGGCTATTTACAGCATTTCTGTATATTGGATTAAATGTGCTCTACAGGAATGGACTGCACCTTTGCATATGGAATTTCCATGAATTTTAAAGGGGTATTTAAGAACAAAATAATGGTGTTAGGCATTTTTAAACAGAGGGAAAAAATGGATATTTTTTAGCTTTGGAAACAAAATGTTAAAGCTATACATCATTTTAAAGAAAAAAATGAAAGCACACCATAATTTGTGCAAGAAATACATAGATTTTTTTCTCTTTTTCTTCATTAAACATTTATAATTTATTCTTTTAAAACCCTCGCATAAAAATATTTTGACATATACAGTATCTTTTTTTTAAAGAATATTTGGAAATATATATCTACAAATGACCTAGGGATGATAGTAAGTTTTATTTTTCTTCTGCTTTTCCTCTTTTCTTTGAACCTTCTTCCTTCTCCTTTCCTCTCTCTCTAATGTCTCCTTCTGACGGGATTTTGCTCTCCTGCTCCCTCTCTCAGAATCCTGTCTCTCAGTGGTATACTATGCTCTGCTCTGGACTGCCAGACAGGGGTCTCTTGTTCTTGTATGAATTATGTAAATAAGGAAACCTTCAAATTCTTTAAGACAGAGGCAATAAAGCAGATGGGAATTGCTGCATTGTGAACAGAAAGCAATTCCCAGTGCAGAGGACTGAACAACAGAATGTGACTAAAAGGACCTATTGATGCGGAGTAGGGGCTTTTAGCTGAGGCTCTCTGTTTAAATATGTAGCCCAATAGACTAAGTTAAAGATTCCAAATAGCAGCGGGAAGGCTATTCTTGACAGCCGGTCAATTTTGCTGACACTGTTAAAGGTTTTCTTGGGTTCTGGTGGTTTTGTTTCAGGCTTGACTTCTTTCGGTTCTATGGTTGCACTTTTAGCAATGGTGGCTAAGCCGGGGTCACCCCGGGCCAAATTAGGGGTGTAGCTGGTGGCAGTTGGAGCATAAGTGTTGTTTTTCTTAATGAGAGGATCCTTCACTTTCTTTGGCTGTAGAAGGAAAGCGTAGAGCATTTTATTTAGTAAACTGTGGGAAGCAAGATTATAAATTACCCAGCAAAGTGACTCTTCGTTTGGAGCCAAAGTCCGCACTTTGTTTTAAATCCAAGAAATGTAATTTAGTCTACTCTTGGAGTAAACCGAGACTCCAGATACCATATTTTCTAGCTGTTCCCATCAAGAGGTGGAGTCTATTTCCTCCACACTTTGAATCTAGACTGGACTTGTGTCTTTGGCAGAGTGATGCTGTCAAGTTAAGCATCCTGATATTAAGATGCTTTTTAGTCTCAGCCTTTACACTCCTGGAAGGTGGTTTGTAAAGAAGCCAGACTAGACTACTAAATGACCAGGGAACATGGGCAGTTAGAGGCCCAGCTGACAGCCCACATCTGGCCCCAGACGTGTGAGAGAGGCCATCTTGGATTCCCGAGCCTGGTGGAGCCTCCAGCTGACTGCAGCCACATGAGTGATCCCAGGTCTGACCAACAGAAGTACCATCATGTTGTTCTCAGCCCAAAATGCAGAATCACAAGCAAGTAATTGGTTGTTGTTTAGGTCACTAAGTTTTGGGGTGGTTTGTTTTGTGGCAGTAAATTGCCAAGACAATTATCATTTGTTCCTTCTTAACAGGTTTCAAGTAGGCAATTTATATATATATATATATATATATAAATATATATATTTATAAATATATAAATATACATACTGGTGTATATACATATTATATATATATGTGAACTTAGAATTATGTATAGATATAGGTATGTATATGGATATCAACATGAATATAGATATATTAAAGATGTGACCCTACCTGGAAACCCTGGTGGTGTAGTGGTTAAGAGCTACAGCTGCTAACCAAAAGGTTGGCAGTTTGAATCCACCTGGCACTCCGTGGAAACCCTATGGGGCAGTTCTATATGCCCTATAGGGTCACTATGAGTAGCTATGAGCTATTGGTATAGTCATCAAAAAATCAAAAAAACCCAAACCCGTTATCTTTGAGTCGATAAGAAATAGTCTGAACTGACTTGACGGCACCTAACAACAACAACATACCTGTAGCTATATATGTACACTGAAGGTCATGGATTATATAAACAGATAAAGATTTAAATCTTTTCTTTGAGACAGAACACTTGAAAGAATAATATAGGGGCAAAGATAAATATAATCTGAATAGTGATCTCACCGATACCTCAACTAAAATCCTATGCTTTCCAGACCAAATTCAATTCACTTGACCATTGGTCACTATCCACCGATACCGACACACCAGTGTCACGAAAGCGTTGGTATTTTGCGGTGTGCAAAGAAAGTCTTAAGACAGAAAAGCAGCTTTTCCCAAAGTCAGCACCTCCTTTCACTAAATCTAAGAAATTTTAGTATTTTAATGATTCTAAGATGCACAAGCTTAAAATTTTTCATATCTATGAAACTGGACTATGTCTTACAATTCAGAGTGTCTTAGGATCCCCCATCTCCAGGTTTGGCTCCCTCTCTTAGGCAGTCTTTCTGCTCCAGGAAAAGTGGAAGTCATCAGTGAATAAAGAAAGTATTTGGCAATAGCTCCCTCTCCACCTTTCTACCTCTCTCTCCAACTGATAAATGCCATTCCCTTTTACTTTTCCTCTCTCCACTGAACCTGATTCAAAGTTCTTGGGTTGCAAATTCAGATATTTTTACATAGACAAGCATGATTCAAGGCTAGGTGAATTTTGGGGACATTACTGGTTCTGGCACCTATTGGCTGTGAGTGTGCAGCCGACACAGAACTTTCTTTGATTTCACCTGGCTAGGAGATCACTGAAGGATTTAAATGATTCATCTGTGACTGAGGGATGAATCTAAAAAAAGCCTTTACAGCATATTTTATTTCTTACTTGTCCATAAAGTAATGATACATCTTATAACCAGTAATACCTTAGGTCTGATTAAATATGATAGATGTTACTTCCACAAATATATGTCATCTAAGAAATATGGGTAACTGTGACATAAACACAGTTAAACTGATTTCCTTAATACAGAACCTCTCAGACACTTCAAAATATTGTGACTCTATCGAACTGTATGCAGCATTATTCAAATGTATTTGACCACAGAACTGTATTTTCAGGGACTATCTCAAGCAACTGGTATTCTGTGGGGCAAAATTTGGGAAAAAACAGTTGTATATTTTCCTAAAGAGGAAAAGCGCTTAGATTATTCAAGAAGACTTAAAACCTCTGTGACTCTGACTGTTTCTTTCCACGATCCCAAGACTCTGTTGCGTCTTGGCATATTTTCTCTTCAAACCCCAGAAATAGAAATATCCTACCAACTGTGACTTAAAATCTATACTGTGAAATAGGTTTTAATGGAGAATAGCAGCCATATTCTGGACTTAATTATTTTCTATAATGAGGAATTTCACTTTGATTTCTGTGTGTTTTGATCCCTAAAGCAATTCTCTATCTTTGACAAAGAAAATGTGTGTCCTGCCCTTGATGTCACTGAAAATCAGAGGTAATTTACTGTATTTTGCAAACTTAATTCAATTAGAACATTACAAAAACATTCACGATCAAAGTGATTAGGTTTAGGGAAAAACTGAAAGACTATTATTTTCAAGTTATACAAATTATGGTGCACTTGATAAATAATGGATTTGGGTAAGTTCATCTGCTCCCAATGTCAAGTTTGTTAAAACTGTTCTCAGATCAATAGAGACCGTAGGAAAATATATTCGAGTAGAAATGTTTAACTAGTGTCTCGCCTTTGTCTCCTCTTATCTACTCTGAATATCTACAACCTATCCCTTTAACAAAAACAAAATTATCACGTAATCATTTGTGACATCATAATAAATGAATCCTCATTACTCTCTCCCTGCATGCTTCATCCAATCCCCCAACTTAAACATTATCGGATTAAGGAAGCATAATAATGATACATAACAGAGGCTATTAAAGCATTTACCTTTTCTGGAACCACGCTTTTGCCATCCCAAGCATAACCTCTCTTGGTGAAATAGTTTACTGTGGCAAACTCAATCAGAGCTGAGAATACAAAGGCATAGCACACTGCAATAAACCAATCCATTGCTGTGGCATAAGCCACCTTAGGGAGAGAATTTCTGGCACTGATACTCAACGTTGTCATAGTGAGCACAGTTGTTACTCCTGTAAAGAAAGAAATTAAATGAGTATGTAGTTTTAATACTACAAAATGTCATCAATGAAGGTCAGTCTGTTTGCCCAAAGAGAAATCAATCTTACTATCTACAGAATGTGGTTTTTAGCTGATTCCATTTTGGTTTTGGAGGGGTAAGTTTTTTGTTTTTTTTAATAATTTTTTTTTATTATACTTTAGATGAAGGTTTACAGAACAAATAGTTTATCATTAAACAGTCAGTATACAGATTGTTTTATGACACTGGTTAACAACCCCACGACATGTCAACACTCTCCCTTCTCCACCTTGGAGGACCTTTCTTTTGGTGAAAATATACACAGCCAAAGTTACACCATTTCAAAAGTTTCTACATGTACAAGTCAGTGACACTGATTACATTCTTCCAGTTGTGCTGCTATTCTCACTATCCTTTTCCAAATTATTCCATCACCGTTATCTTCAACTCACTGCCCTGGAGGGATAAGTTTTAATTTAACTCCAGTGTAGTTTATGGTTCTTTGTATGGTATTATTAGGGGGAAATCTTGGAAGGATAAACCATTCTGTTATTCAGAAGCTGATAATAAGATAGTAAACTCCTTTAAATGAGGATCTTGAACATTGTGTCCTGACTAGGAAAAGTAATACTCTTCACTGTCTTTACATCTTTAAAACAGGGATACTCTGGATCCTCAGCTCTCTTTAAATAGTCTGTATACTCCAAATGTGTCAATCAAGAAGCAACAGACAGAAACTGAAGTATCTTAGGCTAGCAATTTGTCATTTTATTAACTCTCTTCTACTATTTTTTCCTGATTCTAAAATATTTACTCTTTTGAAGAAATTACTGAAATAACTATATGTAAAATTATTTTTATATAACTTGCTCAGAAGTAAAAAACACAAAGTTTAACACAAGTTTGTCTGATTCAAATGTTTCTTATATAAATACTCACCACAGTAAAATAATAATGATAATAATAATTAATTTAAAATAATATTTATATTTTTTAAAATCCATGATCTTTCCCTTTCTATAAATGCTGCCTCATCCTCCCTATTCTGCAGCTCTATCCCTAGTGATTAATATTACCTGTATTCAAAGTAGTTTTCAAGTCAGTCTTGTTTAATCTATTTAGATAATTATATGAGTTGGTATGTGAATGGTGGTATCCATTGATGTTTTTATTTAGCAAATTGATCCTGTAAAACGACTATGTGTACTGGTACAAAAGTACAATACTCTAAGGGTCCATTTTAAAATGTATATAAAAATAATAATTCATAGTAACCATTGGGGGTGGATCCTGCTGCATGATGTGGAAAAAAATCCTGACCTTTTCCAGTGACTAGTCCCAGTCACACGACTTATTAGCTTCATGACCTTGGTTAAATCAGTTAACTTCTAGAGATCTCAGTCTTAGAGAGCAATTGTGAAGATTAAATAGGATAATGCAATAAAATGACTAGCACTTAGCCCACTAGTTAGTAAGTGCACAATTAATGACTATTATTATTAGTAGTATGGACAAATTTGGTGCTTTTTGATAAATCTTTGCTACTGTGAATCCCACTTTTTCAAATTTTGGTTTATGTAGGCAGCTGTGAGAAGTAATTTGGGAATGGGAATTCTTAAACCAAAGTTATCCATAAAGTAAAAGCAGTAAAGAATAGCATAAAGAAGTGTGTTGTATTACAATTCCTGCTATGGGGTAAGGAGAAGGAAGAAAAATGTATTGAGCAGCTACTATGTTCCAAGTACTGACCTGACAATTTATATATTTTATTTATTGTTATTATTTAATCTGCCAAACATCAGTATTTCAATCTCATTTTACAGTCAATTGAAGCTCAAAATGATGATGTAAATTGTTGGCCAAGGTCATACAGTTGGTTAACCAGTTGTCATTAAGTCGATTCCAACACGAGACACTGTGTGTGAGAGTGGAACTGTGTTCCATAAGGTTTTAAGTGGATGATTTTTCAGAAGTAGATTGCCAGGCCTTTCTTTTGAGTGGGCTCAAACTGCCAAACTTTTGGTTAGCAGCTGAGTGCCTTTACCATACGCATTACCCAGAGACTTCCTGGTAAAATTGAATAAACCTAAAATTCAATCTGTCTGGCACCATAGTTACTTGAGCACATTGCCTCCAAAAAAGAGGGCATGAGGGGCCCAGAATATGATGTTTTAAGACTTTAAAACAGACAATCATTTTGCATTCTGGATGTCTTTTAATAAACTGTTGGAAAGTACAGCTCCTGGTTTGTTTGTTTTTTTAAATTTTGTTTTGTTGTTTCTTTCCTTTTTGTATTTCTTTAAATACCTGTGACCCTCTTGGGTATCTCACGTAACTCAGAGGAATGTGCTGAGATCAGACTAAAAACAATAGAAACATGTACTAAATAAGTGTTAAAAGACAAAAGGTCTAAGAAAATTGTATTAGTGACTTTGTTCAGCTCAAATGATTTGAAACATATTTCTTGATACACGGAAAAATTTGTCAGAGCTGAGTTTAGAGATATGTAGTTATGTTCATCAAAAGGGCATGAGTTGGCTGAGGTATAAGATCACTGAAAATGTTAAGAGTCAGATTTTTGACTTATGAAACATCCTGAAATGCTTTAGAGAATTTGCAAAAAGGAAGGGTTGCAGTGGGAGGTGGAGAGTGAGGTGCTTTTAAAAATCTCTCACTATATTCCTCGGCTCATTCTATCACCGTAAAGTAAACCATAAATTAAATATGTTCTGAGTTCTAAATTTATGTTTTTTAATTCCTAGTGAGTAAATGACTCAAACTGCATGTGTATGTGTGTGTGTTTATATATACATATATATGTGTATATATATATATATGAGAGAGATATATGTAAGATGCATGTATATTTCGACCAGAGGTCAATCTTCAATTCTAGTAAGTCTCTTAAACACTAGTTAATATTGACAAATGGTAATAAGGCAAAAAAAAAAAAAAAAAGAATTTGAAGTGAAATGCTCTCTCAATCTGCAGCCGAGATCATCCTTAGGCTACAGTCAGAGCAAAGATTTGGTGGGTTCCAACTCAGAAGCGCCTTGTCAAATTCAGAAGACAAAACAGCTTCCTTGGAACTTGTGTAGGGTCCTGCTTTTTCTTCTGAGCTATAACTAATTTTTCATATGTTGTGTATTTTTGAAGGGTGATATCTTAGGGATCTGTACACATTTCCAGTTTAGACTATAAGCATCTTAAGGTTTTATTGGGTAGCACAAGGTCTTAAACAAAGCAGATGCCTAACTGATATTTGTGGAATGAACCTTAATAATTACACCTTTCATCAATAAATATATGGTTATTAAAGCAAAAGTATTTCTAAATGAAAAGATGTTAACCACAACAACCCCATCCCATGTCTTGTGATTGCAGCAAGATGTGTTTTGATTGAAGAGTCTATAGAAGAATCCTGATCAAAGGGGGAAATTTGTGGAACAAAATTTCAAATTCACTATGGATTCCAGAATTACTGGAATGAAGCCCCAAATTTGAGATAATCTTTTAACCTTAAACCTCAAACCAAAGCTATCCCCTGAAGTCTCTTTGAAGCAAAAAATAGTTTAGCTTAATTAGTAAAGTATGTCTGCCTTGAGCACTTTGCCCTTTGAAATAATCATCTTTGTGGGATCAAACTGACAACAGCAACTTGAAAAGTTAAATAAGAAGCTTAGGGGACAGTTAGCTTATGTTAATAATGGTGGTGGAATAATTTGGAAAAGGATAGTGGTTGCACGACTTGAAGAATGTAATTAATATCACTGAATTGTAACCTGTAGAAATTGTTGAAATGGTGTATCTTTCGCTGTGTATAATTTCACCAATTTTTTTTTTTTTAAAAAAGGTAAATAAATTAAGTTTTAAAAAAAAAGGAAGAAAAAAGAAGTGGTGGTATAGCATCATTGCTAAGAACCTGGAATCTAGAGCTAAGTACTTGGGTCTTCTAACTCCTTTACCTAATAGCTTCTGACCTTGGGAAGGTGACTTAATTTCTTGTTCCTTAGCATTCACTTTTATAAAACAGGAAAAATAATTGTACGTAAGACTTTTTTAGAATTTAATAATATGGGTTAATTGCATAGAACAGTGCCTTTTATATAAGAACATACTATTATCTGTGATTTTTATTATTATTAAAATGTTAAGCTCCAGAAGATAACCTTTATGAAGGAAGTAGTTTATGTTTAGTTCAGTGCTGCATTCCTGTGCCTAGTAGTAGCTCATAGTAGGTTTCAATAAAACTTAATTGAATGAATCCACCAATAAGCTTACTGCAGTGGAATCTTTTCTTTTTTTCCCATCAGTCTGAGAAGGACAATCAAGTCGGCATACTAGGATGCAAGCAGGAAATATCTCTTTATAGGAAACGCAAACTTCTAAAATAATACAGTAAGGGGTGAGTTTTCATATTACTACATGATTGTTTACTATTTATACAATTGTCCATTACATTACCTTAATTTTTATAATCTAGGGCATTTAAAACCTTTTAATAGGAAAAAAAGAAGTATATTTGTAACTCTTTGTTGTTGTTGTTATTAGTTGCCTTCGAGTCGATTCCTTCTTATGATAACCTCATGTGTGCAAAGTAGAAATGTTCTAAGGGTAATTCTTTATGAACACATAAATTAGGTAAAGTGAGGTATTCCTGTATTGATATGATGATAGTTAATCAGTTCTCCCCATTTAAGGAAACCCCACTTTTTGCATGTAAGAAGGTAGTTCTGCTGATATTGTCTAAGATTCTCAAAAAAATATACTGATATATGATTATGTCTTCTAAGTACATGAATTGAATATTAAGATTTCTGCATGTTTTTTTTTAACCTAGCATAAAGCATTTTGTGCCCGTTTCATTCCATCTCTCTCCCAAAATAGCCAAATCAAATGATCATGAACCCAATCAATTTACATGCACTAAAATAGCTTGCTATTTAAAGAAAACATGTGGCTTACCTTTTTGTCTTTAATCATACCATAATGAAAATGCTAATGCCATGAGACTTTTTGTGGCATTAACTTCAGATTTAAATGTATCATTGCCTATTCATTATATTTGCAATGTCACAGATATGATAAAACTTGCCCTCCAGACCCTTGCATGCATGCGTTGGTTTGCACTTACCAAAGACAGTTCTCGCTGGTACAGACTCTCTGTTGAGCCAGAAGGAGACTTGGGAGAGAATAACCGTCATTATGCATGGCAGGTATGTTTGAATAACAAAATAGCCAATCTTTCTCTTCAAGTGGAAGTGAGTGGTCATAACAACATATTCTCCTAGGGGAAGAAAGAGACAGCAAGGTTGAGAGATTTGATTTTGAAAAGAAGTTACCTCTGAGGTTTTCAACATCAGTAGCAAAGGCTTTGGGAGTTGGACACATTCTTTTCTCCATGTGGCATCTGATTCCTGGAGAGAAAAGCTTTTATCCAGGAGAGAAAAGAAACATTTTTAACACACATCAAAGTGGCTCTAGCAATGAGATTAAGATGCGAGAGTTCCCACGAATGCTCTTATGTCCTGAGCTTGGTGCATCATACATTTAATGGACACTTCTGGGCATTTCTGGAGCCCTGGTGGTAAGTGGTTAAGAGCTATGGCTGCTAACCAAAAGGTCAGCAGTTCGAATCCATCAGCTGCTCCTTGGAAAGCATATGGGGCAGTTCTACTCTGTCCCCTAAGGTCGCTATGAGTCCGAATCGACTCGATGGCAACTGGTTTGGTTTTTTTTTGTTTTTTATGAGCATGCAATTACAGACTGCTTTTAATGACTGTGAAGATACTGTTCTAGATCCCGATGACATACAACAATGAATCAGAAGCTGACCAGGTCTCCAGTGTGTCCATTGCAGAACTAATTCAGGATGTCTAAGTGAAGGAGCTTTACCGTTCCAGTCAGGATAGCTGAATTCTAGCTACATCATTTCCTGTAGCAGCTCTTTGACCTTGGGTGAGTTACTTACCTTGGCCTGATCTGCAAAATGTGGAAAAGAAGCTAAAATGTTGATCAAACATTTTCACAAGAGTCACCTGAGAAGCTGTAGAAACATGCAATTCCTTGGTTCCCGCCTAGATATCCAAGCCATTCTTTGAAATGGAGCCAAGGAAACCTGTATTTATAACCAGCTTTTTAGCTTGTCTCTATTCCTAGCCCACTTTGGGAGCCAGTAGACTAGCTAGGCACTCTCCAAAGACTTTATATACTCTAAATTCTGACTTCATTTAGAAGAGCCAAGGAATAGACATACAACCCAAATTGTTGGAGAGTTTTGTTTTTATTAATGTTACATTTTCTCAATTATGAATCCTAGAAGTCATAACCATGTTCACTCAGAGTATGTGCATAGTTATCTGTGAGTGAGTAGGAGCAAAATAGATTTGTTCTGGCTAAGAAAACTTCCCTCTCATAGAACTTACATTTCTCCAAGGTTCTCCTTTCCTTCTCCACCAAACTTCTCCCTGCTTAACCTGGCATTTATTTCTCAGGCCATGGATGTCTAGCTTCAGCCCCTCTGATGTGACTAAAAATGCTCATGACCCCTTAATCTCCATAACGAAAGCCATTTTCCCAAACTTCAAGCCGGCCATTCACTTTCCTTGCAGTATTAAGTCCTGAGCAATACTGACAGTCTCTACTTTCTTGATAGCACACTCTTGAATCACATTCTCCCTTTATCTCTCATTTTCTGTTTATTTTGCTAACTCATTAATGATTTCAATCAGAAATCATCTATAGAGTTCTTCCTATCTGTCAGGGACTTCTCTTCCTATTACTGCAAAACATACATAGGGGTTACTGATACAATTCTGTTCTCAATTCTTGCCCTTACTTTTTCTTGACTTTAAAAAGGAATTCTCATCCTCACCCTTGTTTCCAGTGTCATATTTATTTAGTTATACAGATGGCTGCCAAAAGTATACCTGTAAGCGACCTCATTCTCAAAAGTAAGATCTATATTTCCAAGTGCATATTATACCTCTCACAGACATTGATTTTTCACTGACACCACCAATAAAAAATGTTCAAAATCAACATTAGCTTACTTTTCCCACAAAATAATGACTAGCACACAGTCATGACTAGCACTGCTTCTTCATCTGTGGTTCCTTTCTTAATTAACGGCACTGTCCTATATTTATTCACTCAGGTTAAAACCCTGGAATTCATCTTTGGATGTTAGGTGTGATTTAGAAATAATATTGAAGTTATTAGCCCCCTTTCTTGAGCATAGAGAATGTGACCCATTTGGAGCTGGGCCCACAAGGTCTCACAAGGACACATCAACTGGGCCCTGAGGTAAACAGACAATAGCTAAGATAGTCTTGGAAAATATCTTTTAGGGAAACTTTCACATAAAGCCAAACAGAACACAAAAGACTTTCCATGCTTATCTTTTTTTTATTAGCATTCAGTGAATAGAAATTTGTTGGACCAGTGAAGACCCTGTTGACTCTTGTTACTGAAACCTGTACAAATGATTGTTAAGAAAGACAATTCAAAATGTAGGATCACAGTTTCTAGCCAATCTGAAAAGGCTAAGCTTTCAATAGTTTTGCCCAGTTGTAATGTTAATATATACTGATGGCTCTGTAACCATTTTTTGGACTCAAGCAGACATGGCTCTGGCAGCATGGTTGTCCGTTTCCCACTTCTGCCTTTTTTGAATATATGCGGAATAAAACTTCCTTTTTCCTTTATTAAACTTTATGATGTTTTTTCCCCTTCAACAGGTGGTGCTTGGGAAAGGGAGAGGAAGGAGTTAGTTGATCACGAGGATTTCAATTTCCCTCAGGCAGTATCTCTTAGTGTATCTCGTATTACCTCATGGTCACTGCCTTTAACTTGTTTATAGATTTCTTACAATAACCTATTAACTGTCTCCTTTGCCTCCAGCACACCCTAACTCCAGTTTTCTCTGAATTTTGGTGTTAGGTTCATCTTTCTAAGGCACATATTTGATCACGCTACTCATTTCTTACTTAAAATACCTAATTAATTACCGTTATCTGCATCAGGGTTTCTCAACCTCAGCAATATTGACGTTATGTACCAGATAATTCTTTGTTGTTGGGGCTGTCCTGTGCATTGTAGGATACTGAACAGCATCCTTGGCCTCTATCCACTAGATTCCAATAGCAAAAACTCCTCCTTTCCCCAGGTGTGACTATCAAAATTTCTCTGGTTCTATATAATAACAAGTAAATTCTCTGACCTGTAGTCAAGACTCTCCATATCATAGCTCCGATATGCACTTCAGTCTCATGTTTCATGACTCAGTATATTGGTCCACAAAATTCTCTACCTGAGCATTGTTGCTGAATATTTTGCTCATCTATGGGTTGGCCTCAAGTACCAATTCTTTAGTGGAATAGAAATAAATATCCTGTAGAGGAAAGTGTATTAGCTTTGGAAAAAAAAGAATTTGGATTTAAAACCCAGATACGCTACTTTTGCTGCGTAGCTTTGGGCTACAGACTTAGCCTGTCTCATGCTCAGTTTCTTCATGTATAAAATAGTAAAAAGTAAAATGTGGGGAGAACAAAGAATAAGAGATCTAATTAAGATCATGCTATGTAAGAGTTATAAGATAAACTTTAGTTCCTTTCTCCATTTTCTTCACCAATCTCCCTAATCAGATTTGGTAGAAGTATCGGTAGCAGAAAAGCATTCACTGTGTTTAGCAGGAAACCATGCATGCATTCATGAATGCATGCTTTCATTACTGTTATTAAGGATGACATTCACCATTTACTGTTTACTGAGCCCTTACTGAGTACTTTCAACTTTATTTGTAGCTCCTGCTAATATTTCTGATAATGTCTCATACTTAATATTTTGGTTATTTATATGCTTATATCCTTTCCATTAAACTACAATCTAATTAAGAAAGGGATGGTCCTTTGGATATAGCATGGCCTTACAAATCCTCAGGAAAAAATGGTGGTGTAGTGGTTAAGAGCTAGGGCTGCTAACTAAAAGGTTGGCAGTTTCAATCCACCAGGTGCTCCTTGAAAGCTGTATAGGGGAGTTCTACTCTGTCCTACAGGGTTGCTATGGTTTGGAATGGACTCGAAGGTAATGGGTTTGGTTTGGTTTTTACACACCCTCAGGATTCAATACATGCCTATCTTAAAAACATGCATTTAGGCTTAAGGGCACTCAATCAGATCAAAATCTATGAGCATCTCTCATCTGAAGGATAAATGAAATGTTAACTAATGAGTGTATTTTCATTTTCTGTATACACCTTTGGTGATTGTGACACATACACACACGCACACACACACACACACCTATATATAAAATTATTAAATATGTATACATATATATGTATCTAAAAGAGAAAGAAATGATACACATTTGAGAAAAACGCAGAAAGCTAATCTTCCCAGGACTCTGATAAAATGTAGCCTTGTGTGGACATACTCCTGTTACATTTCACCCTCTCAGGGTTGCACATTATTATTCTTAACAATGCATTCATTTGTGGACCACAGAATGTCACCATCTCAGAGAAAAAATTCTATCTTTCATATATAATGTCAGAAAGTTGAATGTCTACATATCTTCCATTATCACCTTTTGTTGTTTGCAATGTGACATTTTGGAAAGTTTCTCCAAAGGATATTATTTTGGAAGATCAGAAGAGTTGTTATTTGACATTATATTTGTTTTATAAACCACTTTCTCCCTAACAGATTAGGGAAAAACTGGGAAATTTTTTGAAACCTTCTTCATACATTCAATAAAATCTATAAAGTTTTGGCACAAAAGTTTTAAATAAGGAACAGAACAGACAACAATATCATAATCCATGTTGTAATGATTTAAAAATGAAAGAAAAATATCACAAAAAATCAGATCTCTAAATTGGATTGAAATAGCATGTCTAGACATCAAGTGTGTATGCGCTAAGCATGTCAAGTGCTTTTTTCTCATAATTCAACAGTCTCGAATAATTATAATTTAACTATTTTGCACATCGTCTAACCCTGAGGGAAGCTTATAAATTAGATGTGGTAATATTTCTGATACATTAAAATATGAAAGTAGAGAGAGTGAAAGTAAAGAAGCAGGGAAATAATTTTTCAAAGCAGTATTGAGAATTTGTTTAGATCTGGATTCTAATCTTTGCTTTCTCAAATGTTAGCTACTTGAAAATAAATAGCTTGCTTCATTTTATTTTGTTTCAGTTTCCTCATTTATCCAATAAAAATGATAGTATTAACTCTTTTCTGGGATGCTATAAGGATACAATAGAATAATACAAGTAAAAAT